TTCCTTAAAGAACAACACACTTTCATTTGCAAATAGCAAATCCGAGCTATTAGGTGCCCGTGTGCACAAACGAAAATCTTGGGCTCCACCTCTACTAGAGACATCATTTAACAACAACAAAAGCGCATCAGCCACTAAAGGAAATAAACACGGAGACAAAAGATAGCCTTGTGTGAGACCACCGGAGGAGTAAAAGTCTGCAAAAGACGACCATTCAGCCACACTAAGTACTTTACCAAAGTGACACAAATAATAATCTAATTAATCCAAGCCGGCGAGAAACCCTCCATTTACTTATTAAAGTCCAATATGAAATATACATTTACTTATATCAGTGCGCGCTAACGCTGGCGCTGGCGCTTCATCCTACTTTAGAGTTTTGGAGAAAACAATATGTGTTGCATAATTTACTTTTGACTTCTCATTCAACCAATCTTATTGCCATATCAAACCAAAAACTTGAGACTAGGAATGGCGTACTGCAGATTAATCGAGTAAGGATCAGACATTACCAAATGTCCAAATCCCTTTAGGGCATGTACAATGATGCTATCTTAGGAGTGCCATGTAGGATAAATGATGAGGTGAAGGAGAAAGAACTCATAAGTAAAGGCTTGTCTTCTCTTATTTAAGACAAGACAAGAGATGATCTCTTAGCACAATATGTCTCATCATATTTTTAGGAATAGCTAGTTATTGAAGATAAGGCTAGGAGATGACCCATTGTAAACATCTTTTTTTGTCATCTCTCAATTACATGAAAAACTTAAGATAAGACTAATCATTGTACATTATAGTCTTCGGAAAACACAGGTTCGCGGTCCACGCATATTATCTACTTAACGCATCGAAAAAATAGCTAAAGAATAAAAAAAATGTAATGCTAAGCGCCACGCGCACATGATCGATCATACCGGAGCGGCCGGTCGATCGTATCAGTGGCCGAGGACGACGAGGTCATCGCCGTCGGACTCGTCGGGGTCCTTGGGCTGGTCGGGATCGCTGTAGTCGTCGTCGGCCGCGCTGCTCGGCACCTTCACGTTCAACAGGCCCTCCTCCTGGTTCTCCGGGTCGCGCAACGCGCCCACGCGGCATGGCGTGGCGGCGCCCGGAGCGCACTTGGGCTTCTGGGCCTCGTCTGCCTGCGCGTCCTCGAGCGCAGCGCGAGCGTTAGCGCGCACGCCAGCGCTGCCACCACCAGGCATGTGCGCGCAGACGCTGCCATGGGTGCGCCTCGACGACGATGAAAATTATATTGCACTTTTTTTAGAGGCTTGAGAACTGTAGTCGTGTGTGCGATCGATCAAGAGGAAGGTTAAATCGATGTGGATTTGCTTGCAGATTTGCGTGTTCCGCAGATTGCGTGGCGGAGCTTGAGGTAGCCGGGGCCTAGTCTTGAGGTGACACCGCTAGTCCGCAAAACACGAGTCAATTTCTTTCCGTGCTACGACAGGTCATTGTTTTCATTTTTTTTTACTTTGTATAGTGCTTAATTAGAAGTTGAGATTTGAAAAAATCTAACTGAAAACACAGGTCATCAAAAGTCATGGCATTTTAAAACTTTAATCATTAAAAGACATGAAACATCAGACAAAAAAAGAGTGGCAAAGAAACGCACACAATTAAAAGGGAAATATGATGTGGCTTACTCAGTACCGAGGGTTGATAAGCGGTGCTCGGTAATAGTTGCCTTTACCGAGAGTCACTCTCGGCAAAGGTCTTAACCCTAGGTCTACACATCCTCTCCGTTCGTAGCCGTGCTCGGTAAATATGTGTTATTCTTTTTGTTGTTATTTACATCTCCTTTATTTTTTGCTACATGCTTCGCAAAGCACCTTACCATTATAGTTAGACATTACCGAGATGGGGTTTTCCAAGAATACCTCTCGCGGTACAGGTCCTAACCCCAGTTCGAGAGGTCTTCCCCGTTTCTAGCCGTGCTTGGTAAATATGTGTTATTCTTTTTGTTGTTGTTTACCATTATAGTTAGACATTACCGAGATGGGGTTTTCCGGCCATGCACCCTTCCGGTGGCCCTGACGGTCTACGACATTGACCAGCACCGAGAGGGGGTAGAGGTTGATGAATACCTGCTTCTCCGTATTACGACAGGTCTCTGTTTTAATTCTTTTACTTTATAGTGCTTAGAAGTTGAGATTTGAAAAAATCTAACCCAAAACACAAGTCTTCAAAAGTGCATTTTTAAATGAGTCATTAAAAGACATGAAATATCAGACACAAAATGAGAGTGGCAAAGAAACACACACAAATAAAAGGAAAATAGGATGTGGCTTACTCAGTACCGAGGGCCGGTAACCGGCTCTTGGTAATAGCTGCATGTACCGAGAGCCCTCTCGGTACAGGTCCTAACCCTAGGTCTAGGGATCTTCTCCGTTTGTAGCCATGCTCAGTAGGAATTAGTGGCGGAGCTTGACAAGAATTTATTGGAGGGGGGGGGGGGCAATTTTTTTAACCACTGCAATAAACTAGAACTTGTAGCCTTCAGACAAATTTGTATTCATATTACCTGTATTGTTGCAAAGTGCATACATAAATACTTCAAAAAACAACTAACTCAGTAGCCTACTGGGGAATCTTTCTACGTATTGCAAGTATCTCTTTCTTTCCTGGCCTAATTCATTTACTTGCCACTAACCAACAAATTAGCCAAGGACAACTTCGTCCTAAATCTGCTATAATTTTGTGTAACCCTAGCAAAAATAGTACACCTTACATAAAGGAATGGTGGGAGTAGTGTTTAGATGTTGAGATTTGAAAAAATCTACCCAAAAACATAAGTCATGGCATTTTGAAATGTTAGTCATTATAAAATATGAAATATCAGACACAAAAATAGAGGGCCAAAGAACACACACAAAAAATAGGAAAAATAGGATGTGGCATATTCTGTACCGAGCATCGACAACCGGCTCTCGGTAATATGAAAAAAAAAATTGACAGATCCGTCGGGTGCGAACGGGCATGCCACGTGGCTACTCGTTGTCGTGTGGTGCTCTCGGCGTCTGTACCGTTTGTCGAGTGTAGTCTCTTCGCCGTGACTCTGCATCGGCAACATGGGCTAGTTGCCTAACCCATTGTTGCCGAGCGTGGCTCTCGGCGTACCGAAGTTTGCTGAGTGCCCGTGGTTTGGCTCTTGGCGAAAAGAGCCTGGCACCGGCGTATAGGGAAATTCCAGTAGTGGGGAAGGTGAGGGTGAGAGAGGGCAGAAATTTATACTCCAGCCTGTCTCGGTGGGGTATATTTAGGGAGAAAGTTGGGGTCGAAGTATAATTTTTACTCCCTTATAGCCGATTGGGGATCGATGGGGATGGGTTAGAAAAGCCCTTATATAAGATAAGGAGCATATACTGATGGGTGTTTGTGCTTTTCTGTGGGCGTTGGGTAACTGCCGTAATGACCTTGTCTTTAATACTCCAAACATAACAAAAGAAATCCAGATCATCTTGAGAGCTTCTTGGTGGATCCGTACATGACACTCCCTTCTGCTACTTTTGTGTTAAACCTTGTACTCACCTTGCGAATATTTGACACTTCAGTTTTATAATAAAGTTGGTTGCATGCATCATTTCTGATGATGCACAGGCGGGTGCAAAATCTGTTAGAGGTGCTCTTACACCAAACCATGTTACCGGAATGCCAGATACATGTTGTTTTTCATCAACTCGAGCAGATACTGCTATACATCATCATATATCTAGACGATCACTCAGTTACCGGATTGACCATTGCCAAAACAAACAGAACACAATCCAGGCCAGGATGGGTGAGCATATGCGAAATGCAAAAAGTTGCAGAATAGTACAGGTACTAAGCACCCATGGTAAATCAAAAGCAGAATGATTTTTTGATTAAACAAGCATGATATAAGCGCCTAGCTTCAGGACCTCATAGCCATCGATGATCCTTCTTCACTTTCGCCATCTGCTTCTTGTCCTCGGACTTGTACTTGTTGGCATCACGCACCATCCGATCGATCTCCTCCTTGGTCAGCCCACCCTTGTCGCTGGTGATGGTGATGCTGTTCCTGTTTCCGGTCGCCCTGTCCTCCGCCACCACGTTCAGGATGCCATTTGCTTTGATTTCAAATGTTACATTGAATGATGGCACGCCCTGAGGCGCTGGAGTGATGCCAGTGAGCTCAAACATGCCAAGCAGATAGCTGTCCTTGGTCAAGCCCGCTTCACCCTCGTATACCTCGAAGAGCACGACGGTTCGGTTGTCAACGCTGGTCGTGTAGCCTCTCTCCATCTTAACGGGGCTAGTATAGTAGTGTTCCTGGGTACGTATCACCATCGTCATGACACCACCTGTTATTTGTACCCCGTGCGACAGGGGCGTGACGTCAAGCAGGAGAAAGTCATGCATCTTCTTGCCGTCAAAAAAAAGTCATGCATCTTCTGGCTGCACTCAGCCGTTGAGAATCGCTGGCTCATTACTCATTAGCTAGTTAGAAGGGCTAGGGTTGATCCTCCATGCCTGTGGAAGGATGTTTGAGATGATATAAAACTAGACATGATGGCATTTTCTCAAAAGGAAAAAAAACAATTGCGCAAAGGGAATATAATCCAGGCCGAGCATATGCGCTGTGCCAAAAGTTGCAGAATTAATGAAGTACAGTACGACGCTAAGCAAAAGCAGAGTGATATTAGGATCAAAGAAGTCGATGTCCGCCTAGTTTCCCTTGACCTCATGGAGTACTGGGCATCAGGGTTCCTTCTTCACTTTCATCATTTCCTTCTTGTCCTCACATTTGTACTTGTTGGCATCACTCACCATTCGATCGATCTCTTCTTTGCTCAGCCCACCCTGGTCGCTGGTGATGGTGATGCTGTTCTTGTTTCCAGTCTCCCTGTCCTCCGCCACCACCTTCAGGATGACGTTTGCTTCGATTTCGAAAGTAACTCTGATTTATGGCACGCCCCTCGGCGCTGGGGGGACGCCAGTGAGCTTGAACATGCCGAGCAGATTGTTGTCCTTGGTCAACCCCGCTTCACCCTCGTACACTGGAAAGCGCACGACGGTCTGATTGTCATATACCTGGTCGTGTAACCGCTCTCCATCTTAACGGGGATGGTAGTGTTCCTGGGTATCACCACAGACATGTCACTACCTCTTGTCTCTATCCCGAGCGACAACGGCGTGACGTCAACCAGGAGAAAGTTCTGCATCTTCTTGTTGTACTCGCCGTTGAGGATGGCGGCCTGGACAGCAGCGCCATAGGCGACAGCCTCGTCCGGATTGATGCCCTTGCAGAGTTGCTTCCCGTTGAAGAATTCCTGGAGCAGCTGCTGTACCTTAGGGATCTTGGTGGAGCCCCCGACGAGCACGACGTCCTGAATCCGTGACTTGTCCATCTTGGCGTCACCGAGGCACTTCTCCACATGCATAATGCACTTGCTGAAGAGGTCCATGTTGAGCTCCTCGAACCGGGCGCGGGTGATGGTCCCATAGAAGTCAATGCCGTCGTGGAGGGACTCGATCTCGATCTTGGCCTGCGACGTGTAAGACAACATCCTTTTGGCCCTCTCGCAGGCCGCTCTAAGCTTCATCAGCGCCTTCGGGTTGCTTCTGAGGTCACTTTTGTGTTTCTTCAAGAAATCCTGCACGAAATGCTCCACCATCCGGTTGTTGAGATCCTCCCCTCCAAGGCAGGGGCGGAGCCAGCTATGTGGCGAGGTTTGGCAGGCGCCATACCTAAAATTTGGCAAAAATACTACGTATATATACTATACTTGTCTGAAGATTTGAGCTGAGTTCAGTTTCGTCAGTTTGGAGGAGGAGAACACTCTCAGAGGCGCGTCGAATTGCCCATGGCCCAATTATCCTCCCAGCAGCCCACCTAGCTGCATGTAGCCCAGCTCCAGCCTCTAGTAGTCCAGTTACGCTACAAATCGAGCCCGCTGACGGAAATCACGCAGAGACACAGCCGCAATTACGAAATAGGAGCACGATCTAGCTCTCGGTTACGGGGATTCCGGCGGCGACCATGCTCGGCGAACGCAGCGGCGGCAGGTGGCACTGCAGCGGATTAGGTAGCTGAGTGACACACCCGCGGCGCAGACCCAAAAGCGACGAGCTTAATGCCTCTATGTGCCAACGACAGCGACACCGGAAGCAATGACGTCAGGTCAGGATCCTGGCCGTATTGGTTCTAAAATTTCATACTTCCTGTGTCCATTTTTTCAGTCCATACACTAGTAAACATCAATTCTTTTTTATAAATTCGATTAGTTGTTTTTTAGGGGAATTCGATTAGTTGTTGTGTGATCTATGATCGGTGAATTTGTTTTTCTGATCTATGAAGTAACTTGTGTTAAAAAAGGAATCTACTATGTAGTAACTAGAGAGATTAATAAGCAATTTTAGAAAAAAAAAATGGAAGAAAGCTTCAAAGAACACTAATTCAACACCGACAAACGTTTATGTTTTGCAGTGAACGATTTGTGAACCTTTATATTTTCGATTTTCATTCTAGACTTTGAATACCCATTGAATGTGGCACTCCACACAGCTACTCTCCAAACTCGCGAGCCTGCATAGCTTCGTGTGATTCTTCCCTGGTTCCGACCTGCCATCCCTAGCCGGCTAGGTCCTAGGGCAAGTGCCAGAAGATCGAGTAAGGCATCGATCAAAGAGCAACCGTGTAAGGTTGGGAGTGCCGGGCCGGGCAAGGCAGCGGCCACGAGCGGCACATAGTTATATTGTACATTGGTCTTTCGCTCGTGAAATCCGCCACACCTATAAATTATTCCTGCCTTCGCCACTGCTCCAAGGTGGGTGTCACCAGACGTGGCCTTAACATTAAAGGTGCCATTGTCAATGTTGATGATAGAGATATCCAAGGTGCCACCACCATAATCAAATATCAGCACCGTCTTAGCTCCACCGTTGACGGACGCATTGTCGAGACCATAGGCGATGGCTGCAGCGGATGGCTCGTTGATAATGCGCGTGACGTTGAGGCCAGCAATGGCACCAGCATCAAGGGTGGACTGGCGCTGCGAGTCGTTGAAGTAGACTGGCACAGTTATGACAGCATCCTTCACCGTGGTGCCGAGGTAGGCCTCAGCTGTCTCCTTCATCTTGACAAGCACCATGGAGGAGATCTCTTCAGCTGCGAACTGCTTCTCCTCGCCCCTGTACTTCACCACGATCATCGGCCGATTACTAGGACCTGAAATGATTTGAAAGGCCACAACTTCATATCTCCTTGTACCGACTCTTCGCTGAATCGTCGACCGATCAGACGTTTCGCATCTAGAAAAATTGATGTTAGTTTCAAGAGTATATTTCACAGAAGTAGAGGTATATCAATAAAATTAATTAGAGACCGAAAGAGTATTTTCATTTCATTCTAAATTTAAGAACTAACGTACCACAGAATATATATGCAAAGATAATTTGACATGGCTAATACAAACCAGTTATATAGTATATAACAAAAATACCAGGTTCACAAAATATGCCCACGTCAAAATGCAAAATTAATGTTTCTTTTTTTGTGATATGGATGATCACCAAGTACTATGTAATGATGTGGAATTTGTTATTGATTATATACTTTTATAATAGGTTGCACACTAATCTGTAATTTCTGAAACTTACATTTTGGTGATATAGTTGAAGCCACAAATGTTACCTAAATAAAAATAAATGACTCAACATTTGGATATCAGAAATTTATGAGCTTTCATGGACATATATATGTTTAGTTATTCATATGATCTAACTTATTTATAATGTAAATAAGCTATATAATTATAATTGTTTAGCACTCCTAGAAATAACAGCACACAATCAAAATAAAATAAAATAACTAGAGTTAGTGGTTACTACATTCAGCTTAAGGTTGAGATTACCATATTTATGGCCTGAATGCATTTCTCAGTTTCAGGTATGCTAAATAATTATAGTTGCGACAAGTAATATGGATCAGATGGAGTAGTTAATTATTTGTGGCATAGATGTTCCTATTCTCATCTACAGCTTGCAAGACATTTGTCGTTTTTTCTTCCTTTCTTTTTATCAGACTTTAGGTGATTGGCTGTGTGCATCTTAGTTATGCAGAGGCCGGGTGTTACTCATAATGCTTTGTATCTTCTTGATGCTACTTTTTGAGATAATAAAAGCGCCCTTTATCGAAAAAAAAACCTAACAAAAAATATAGTCATGATTGGATACAAACTCTGGAAATTAATTTCAGAGGAAACTGAGCCAAAATTCAAGGGCTCTGATTAAATTTAGGAAAGAAGAAAAATGAGCTTCGGTAAAATGATTATTTTGAATAATTTCTACCCGTACATATCATTAAGATAAAACTGCTAATTCACAGAAGCTTATCCAACAACATACATATTTGTATTTTTTTTATGTTTCAGCCAAGAATTAATCCCTTAAAGTTTTGACAACATTTTCCTGATATTAAACTGTGGAAACTCCAACATATTTCACATACGGCCAAAGCCCTGATATCGTCCATATATGAGCTCCTAGGCATCTTTAATTGAAGGATTTTCCATAATACATGGCATAGATATATGAAGAAAAACTGGAAGAAAAGATGCAGCAATCTGAATAGCTCAGTGAACATTTGACAACTGAAGAACATAAGAGAGGGCCGGGATCTCCATCTTGTCCATACTGTGATAAATATATCTATAACAAGCAAAAACCGCGCGCCGTGACACAAACCCATGAACCTGAGAAAACAGAAGGATTGTCCCTACCATGCAAAACAAAAAATGACTGACTGCCCCCCAAAAATGAAAAATTAAAGGTGACAGTCAGTTGGCAGTTCTCACCGAAGACCGTGTTGGCGGGGTTCATGGCGGCCTGGTTCGTGGCCGCGTCGCCGATGAGACGCCAGGTGTCGGTGAAGGCGACGCAGGAAGGCGTGGTGAGGTTGCCCTGGTCGTTGGCGATGACCTCCACGCGTTGGTGCACCGGCCGCCACACGGCCACGCAGGAGTAGGTCGTCCCGAGGTCGATGCCGATCGCCGGCCCGTCGCCCTTCGTACCTGCTGCCATCGTCACGCGACAGAGGCCGAGCAGAGGAAAACGTAGAGTGCACAAGTACAGGAGCGATCGAGCGTGAGGATTGGGAACTGCAGGGCTGTATTTATTTGAACGTGTATAGGAAGGCGAGAGGGCACCGGCCAGTGGGAAACGTAGTACGAGGCATCTAGTAGTAATTACTATACTGCGGAAGCCGAAGACTTTTACACAACCGAGATACAGTACTCTGTTAAATGAAGGATTGCCAGTTTGAAGTTACATATGACAATTGGATTCCCATAAATAAGGTAAAAATGTGTATTTGATTGTCCAAATCAAACTTTGACTAATATTTAGTTCAATAATATGTGGATTATGTTACACTATGTTTCTTACATATGTCAACTCACGACGTTAGTTAATGCTTGAACTCAGACAGTCAAATTTGTCTTATATTGCAAAAAATATGTATTCGTGTCGCAACGTGCATTAGTTCTTAAATGTGTTTAATCCAGTAATATGAGAGTGGTGTGACTTAAATATTTGGCAGGCAATGTAGTGACC